TCGTATCTTGTGGAAAGTCAAGGCTCCAGGTGGAGGTCCTAGCCCCTCAGGATGGGAGAGCCACCGGCTCCGGGTGACCCAGCATAGCTACCGAAGCCACATGGAATACACAGTCAGTGACCACAAGCCTGTGGCTGCTCAGTTCCTTTTGCAGGTGAGTCCTGGCATCATCCTCTCCTCATGACATCCCTAGGGCCCAGCTCAGCATCCCACTGTCCACCCTCTCACCTGCAGCATCCATTTATCCTAACAGAGTGGGAGGGGGGTGTTATAATCCTCATTTTTAAATGAAGAGGCTGGGGCTGAGAGTCACATCACTTGCCCAGGGTCACACAGCTAGTAAGAGGAAGAGTTAGAGTTTGAACCCAACCCAGTCTGATTGCAGAGTTCGTGCTATTTTCACTAATCTCTGACTGACTTGCTTCTCCTAAGAAAGGTTTAGGGCAACTTATATTAAAATTCACATATATAAGACAAGCAAAATCAAACGTTTATTCAAATCCTATGTGGCTTGCTTGCTCTCTTTTCTTTCTTTCTTTCTTTCTTTCTTTCTTTCTTTCTTTCTTTCTTTCTTTCAGCCTAGGCATTATGAGAGTAAAGTAGTGATGGGAGAAGGGAGTAGATATATAAAAAAAAGCACAAAGCCAAATTCTAAATGCTTACTACAGTTTTGTACTGTTAGCCCTTTGTATCACAGGTTCAGCATCTATGATTCAACTGTGTATAGAAAATATTCAGAGAAAGTATTGAGTCTATATTGAACACATATAGACTTTTCTTGTTATTTTCCCCCAAACAATATAGTATAACAACTATTTATATAGCATGTACTTTGTATTAGGTATTGTAGTCTAGAAATTATTTAAAATATATAGGAGGATGTATGAGGTTATATGCACATACTATACCATTTTATACAAGGTACTTAAACAAACTTGGATTTTGGTATCTACCAGAGTTCCTGGAACCAATCCCCCATAAACTGAAGGATAACTGTATTCAGCATTGAGGTTTCTTGTTTCCAAAGTAAGGGGAAATCCTATAATGTCAGAATTAGATATGAAAGATGGAGAAATCTGAGGCTCTTGTTGAGGTAGGCAGGTGCCCCAAGTCACACAAAGGCTCAGAGCCAGAAGTAGAGCAGGGTAGATCCCATCTTTCCAATTCTGAAAATAAACTCTGGATTCTCCAGGTATCTTGATCTGATAAGAAAGATCCCTGCAGACCAGAGAATGTTTCACCTGGTAACTTGGTCATATGGTCACTTAATGAGACATTTGTCAGTGTCGTTAGTTGGTAATGGATATCTGCCCTTGCCTGACCTCCTGTGACAGGGCTTGAGCCTGAGTTTTAACCCTCAGCCAGGAACCCTTCCTTAAGAATCACTCTTTGGGGAGGATGAGGATATAGCTTAATGATAGAGCACTTCCCTAGCACATGCAGAGCCCTGTGTTCAATCTCTAGCACAGAAAAAAAAAATCACTCCTTTTGGCACCCCACTTTGTACTTCCTGTCTTGTCTCTCAAGACTGTCCCCCAAAATGTTACCTGTTGAGTGCCTACTACATGTCACATCTGATGTAGGGCACTGTATATACATCATCCTTTTGAATGTCTCAATAGGCCCTGAGGTGTCCAAAGTCTCCTTTCTGTTTTACTAGCTAAAGAAACTGAGTCTCAGGAAGCTTAGGTCTCTTATCCAAGGCAGCATAGTCAGAATAGGACTTCATAGGGTTTTGACCTTGTGAGCCCTTGGCATTTCAAGTAGCCCAGTAGCCATTCATCCCAGGGACAAGGAGAGAATGTACCAGTTACTTCTGGAACATCTTGACTCAGAAGCAGAAGGAGAGGAACTTGAAACTAGATCAACAGGGGAGTAGACAAAGGCCTGAGTCTGGCACTACCTAACCTAAACCTTTCCTTTCCCTAGGGACACAGGTGGAGCCAATACCATGGCTGCCCCCTACCCTAGCTACTTCACTCACTCTGGTGACCTCTTGGTTGGCTCAGCTGATCCTCAGGGAAGGATACTCAGGGTTCTAATGTCTTCATGGACTAATGACAATTGTTAGCAGGCCCTCAGTACTTCAGGTGGAGAAATTAAGTCCTGGGATGGCTAGAGCCTCACTTTAAGGTCACACAGCAAGTTAGTGGTAGAGGCTAGAAAAGAACTGAGGTCTCTACCTACCCACCCAGGACTCTTCTTGCCTGCTCAGGGGTATTCAGTTTACCCCAGAACACCCAATGTGTTGTAAGACTTTACCTATCTCTCTTGCTAGCATATAGGCAAATCATTTATTGAGCATCTGTTACCTTGGAAAATTTTTGGGACGCTTTACAAATGTTATCTCAGTGAATCAGTAAGAACAATCCCAGGTATTATATAAGAGCCTCTGGGTTTACCCATAAGGGACCTGGTAGTCAGAGAGGCTAAGGAATGTGCCTATTGCGTAACCTCCCAATGGCAGAACCATTGTAGGGTGGATGTAGGGTGCACTAGCTTCAAAGCTGTGTTCCACTCACTCCCCAAGGAGCTTATAGACAGAAGGAACCCTGGGCTCGGAGGCAGGAAGTTTGACATTTATCCTAGTTCTGTTCTGTCTTTGTTTCCTATCTGTGAAGTATCCTCAAAGTCCCTTCATCTCAACTAATTTGTTCCGACTCTGGCCCAAAAGCCCTGGTTGTGTGGAATGCTAGAGTCTCCCCTTGATGTTGTCCTTTGTCCTGCTTTGCCTGGGCAGTTTGCCTTCAGGGACGATGTGCCACTGGTACGACTGGAGGTGGCAGATGAGTGGGTACGGCCGGAGCAGGCTGTGGTGAGGTATCACATGGAAACGGTGTTTGCCCGAAGCTCCTGGGACTGGATCGGCTTATACCGGGTGAGCAGGAAAGGGGAGGTCAGTGGCTTAGGGGAGGAAGGGGCATGAGGGAACAGCCAGGCATCAAAGCAGGTTTAGGTCACTGGGTGGTCCAGAGTTTGATGCTACCCTGGAGGATTGGAATTAGGAGTCACAACCCTGATTCTTCCTGTCCCAGGTGGGTTTCCGGCACTGCAAGGATTATGTGGCCTATGTTTGGGCCAAACATGAAGATGTGGATGGGAATATCTACCAGGTACTTAAAAGGAGGGGCCGAAAGGGGGAAAGTCCCATTGCCCTGGGGAACTCAAGACTCAGCTTGGAGGGTCCTGAGCCTGCCCCCTGACCCCAATTTGAGCCTATATCCCTGGGTCCACCAGGTGACATTCAGTGAGGAATCACTACCCAAGGGCCATGGAGACTTCATCCTGGGCTATTACAGTCACAACCACAGCATCCTCATCGGTGTCACTGAACCCTTCCAGGTAAATAGGTCATACTATAGAGTTCAGAGGGAGGGACAAATGGCCCTGTCAAATGCCACAGTCTCCACATTCTGCTCTGTGACATCAGACCAGGAGGTCTGCCAATGGGGAGGTGGGGAGTGGTTCCAAGAGGCCTCAATGGCCAAGTGGAGTGGGATGCCCCAGTGACCAGCATTCCCTCCAGATCTCGCTGCCTACCTCGGAGTTGGCCAGCAGCAGCACAGACAGCTCAGGCACCTCCTCGGAGGGTGAAGATGACAGCACTCTGGAGCTGCTCGCACCCAAGTCCCGAAGCCCCAGTCCTGGCAAGTCCAAGAGACACCGTAGCCGCAGCCCAGGACTGGCCCGTTTCCCCAGTTTTGCCCTCCGGCCCTCATCCCGTGAACGCCGTGGTGCCAGCCGTAGCCCCTCGCCCCAGAGTCGCCGGCTACCCCGTGTGGCCCCCAACAGGGGCAATGGCAGCAGCAGCAGCCGAGGCAGTAGTGAGGAAGGGCCCTCTGGGCTGCCTGGCCCCTGGGCCTTCCCATCAACTGTGTCTCGAAGCCTGGCCCTGCTGCCTGCCTTGCGCCTAGAGACTGTAGATCCTGGTGGTGGTGGCCCCTGGGGACCTGATCAGGAGACCCCTGACCCTGACAGCCTGTCTCCTAGTCCCCAGGGCAGGAAGGGGCTAGCGGAAGGAGGCCTAGGGCCCTAAGGGTAGAGTAGGCAGATGGGCCTAGATTCACTGCCTGAATCTTCCATAAACCCACTTGCCTCTCTCCTGCTGCCACTCAGCTGTATCCACACCTGCCACTCTATCCTGGCCAGGGGTGGCCAGTTGGAGTTCCCCAAAACTCAGTCTTGGCACCTCAACTGTGACAATCAGCAAAGCCCCATCTGGGCCCCCATCTGGGATAGTAAGGGAAATCTGACCAATGTCCCAATCCTGGAGATCATCCATCAGAAATTAAATTCTCCAGCTTCTCTCCTGTCTCCTTCCTAACTTGTTAACAGTTCAGGCCTAGGGATGGTCAGTCAGAAGCAGGGACTAAAGAGGCAAGGAAATGACAGAACTGATATTTACCAGGCACCAGTTATATACAGAATACATGCCATCTTTAATCTGTACCACAACCTTGTGGGCTCAGTGCCATTCTTAGAAACATTTTACAAATGAGCAAACTGAGGCCTCCAGGAGGGTATATCAGTCAGCCTCTCAAGATCAGACAGTTTGGCTGTGTGTTGAAGGAAGAAAATGTTTACTAAATGTTAAGCATTTAATTTTATCTTCAACAACACTATGAGGTAGCTCATGTTTACAATCCCCTTTTTCAGATGAGGGAAGCAAGGCTCGGAGTAGGGAGAGGGAAGTCCATTGCCCAAGGGCATGGAGATTTGAATGTAGGTTTAGGACAGGAGTAGTCCAGGTATGAGCTAGGAAAGACATAGCAACTATTAAAAGAAAAGGCCGGGCTGGGGATTTAGCTCAGTGGTTACACCATCTGTCTCAAAAGCACAAGGACCCAAGTTCGATCCCAGGTACCCCTCCCCCCCAAAAAAGGCCTCCCTGGAAGAAGCCGAGATGGAAAGGCCTTTCTAGCACCCCCATCCTAGATTCAGATACAGGCATTCTGTGACATCCCTAATTTCCTACCTGCTTCCCCAGGCCTCACAGCCAGGTGTTGGGGCTCCCCTAAGCAGGTTCATTAATGTTGCGACATGGACATACACGTACCTTTTTCCGGAACCCGCTGGTGCTGTTGCAATAAGTTACCCTCTCCTCATCTCCATCTGTATGTAAAGTTCCCAGACAAGACCCAAGCTCAACAGAGAGAGCCTTTTGAACATCATATCCAGACACAGAGGGGTCATGTCACCACCTCAAGGTCATCCAGCGCAGCATGAAATGTGGTCCAGCATTTGGGCCTTGCAGCCCGCCCCCCCAATGCAGTCTCCTGGCTGTCCTTACCAGCTTCTTCCATACTAAACTATGGAGAGGAACCAAGATTCCCAGGGTCTAGCATACCCAGGGACAAGATGTAAGCTGATGCCTAGGAAAGCTGGAACTAGGGTCACTAACTCTATAACTTCTGTTGCCCTTTGGGTCTTTAGACTGCCTGAGTTAGCTTCAGACATTGGTTGTACAATGACATGGGGGTGACTGGGGGTTGCAAAGGCCGTGCCTGCCCCTTGTCAGTGCCTTTATCCTGGAGTTGGAGTTTCTGCTGAAACTGCAACAAGTGCCGCGCTGACACCTTGATGGCTCTGGGTTCTCTGGAGCATCTGTCAGGTAAGAAAAGGGAGCAGGTGGTCAAGGCTTAAAGAATCCCACCCTCCTGTACAGACAGGAAAATGGAGGCCTAGGGAGGAGCAGGGCCAGGGCCAGGGTCAGGGTCACTAGCAAGGCAGAGAGGGTGGGCTCACATCTAGAAGGAGGAAGAATAAACCTGGGTTAGTAAAATGGGACTGGCTTTGAGAATCACAATCCAAACAAGATTGTGGATTAGGAGTAAGCATTGAGAGCCAGGAGTGGTGATGCACACCTGTGATCCCAGCACTTGGGAGACTTAAGCAGGAGGATAACCATGAATTTGAGGCCAGCCTGTGCTACATCATGACTAACCTAACAAGACTCTGCCTCAGAAAACCAAAACCAAAAAATAAGGAATAAGCAATAAGGGCTGGAGATGTGGCTCAGTGTTAGAGCACTTGCCTAGCATGCACAAGGCCCTGGGTTCATTCCCTAGTATCACCAAAAAAAAAGTATTAAGTGTGCAAGCAGTTTCCTTGGCTCCTACAACTGTTTTACACATAAGGAAATGGAGGTTGAATCAACTTGTCAAGGACACATAAATGATAGCACTAAGATACACATAGGCCTGAGACCTGCAGAGCTGGACTCAGGACATTATGAGTTAGGGGGTGATGACAGCAGAGCTTGCTGGCCCTTTCCCCATCCCCTTGCCTCAGGCACACAATTGGGATATAAGCAATCCAGTCCATGGGAAAAGCCCTCCATCCCTCCTGGCTCTGCCGCTGCTTACCCTTTGTCCTCAGCACAGTCCAGTGGAGGGGCTAGCTTGAAGCAAGTGGTGCCCAGTAGCTCCCAAAGCATGTTGGCACCTGCAGGTGATCTGTGGAGCTTCAGGAAGTGTGCCAGTCTGCAGGCAAAGGCAGGCTTAGGCTGGGACAGGATCTCACCAGGAAGGTACTCATTCCCAGTGCCTGGCAGCAGGCAACATTCCTTAGGGGTCCAGCAGGCCTCACCGGCGCGTGCAGTTGCAGTGGAAGAGGGGCTCACGGCCACTGTTCAGCAGCTGGAACTTGGTTTCCTGGGGCCTGATCTGGTGTTTACATTGGTCCAGGAGGTGGAAGCTGCAGCAGGCACAGCGGGTACCTGGGGACATGTGTGGTGGTGAAGGGAGCCCAGTCCACTAGGATGCTTTACCACTGCCTGCCACCACCCAAAAAAAACACCAGCACACATGCTCAATCACACAACCACCGTCTCCTTCTGTGTGTGGCACTCATACAGCAGTGCCACCATGGGGAACACACAGTGCTGAGACTATTAAGCAAGGCTAGGAGGGTAAAAGGGGAGAACAGTGCTCCAGGCAGACAGACAGCCTGTATAAAGGCCCTGAGGTGAGAGGAGGCAGGTTGTCTCACTCTACCACTGAACTATATCCCCAGCCCTTGCAGGAACCAAATGAATTTTGTAGAAATGGAGTTTCAACTAGAGGATAGGATCTGTAGGGGCTGGGGGCCTCTGGATGCTGGAGCTTGGTCAGCTGAGATTATGGCATGAGATGGCAGGGGGAGGGAATCAGTGGGGAGTAACATGGTCCAACTTGTGGATTATGAAAATTGCTGAGCTGGGGATGTAGCATGGTGGTGGGATATTCTGGGAGGTGTTTGGAGCAGGAAAGAGACAACACATGTCTCCCTCCCATGCACAGAGAGGCAGGGATACCCTCTCATATAAGGAACTGCCAAGGTTAGATTCAGAACTTACCCTGAGGTTTTGGGCCACCCCGTAGATCATGGAGGGCTGTTTGAAGGACCACCAGCTGGGCCGAAAGGGTCACATCAGGTCTGGAGGAGGCTACAGGGGCCTGGAAGACTGTACCATTGGCTGTGCTGGGGTGCCTAGACACTTTCTGCTGTGGTCGTCTCTTCTGTGGGTGCTGCTTCCATTGTGGTTTGGTGGGGGGTGGGCTCTGGGGACTGGGAGGCAGGGAGGTGGCCAGAGAGTTCCAAGAAGCATTGTAATAGGTCCTGGGCTGGAAGTGGGCCAGGGGCGCTGAACCATACATTTTACATCTGGAAGGTAGCAGTTGGTGGCAATCAGTGACTCTGAACCTCCGCTCCCAGAAGCCCTCAGGGTCCTCTCCACAGAGACCAAGTGTCTGCCAGTCCCATCTCCCACCCCACACCTGGTTATGGGGGTATCCAAGAAGGGTCTGCACCCTGAGCCTTGCCCTGAGGAAAAGACAAGACCAACAAGGCATCATTCTCTGGCGGACAGACAGCTCTCCCTCACCAGGCTGGGAACGTTTTACCCCACTGGCTGGGAAAGGACTCAAGGAGGGCAGCCACATACCCGCCCCACCAGTACCACTCCACACACGCCTCCTGCTCCTTCAGCACAAAGCAGGGGATCTCCAGCACATTGAAGAAGGCCACACCCACGATGTCCGAGATGGAGTCATGCTGGTTCCTCAGGCATTGCTGGAACCTGCCCCAGAGCTGGTATTCAGGTCCCTGGGTCACAGAGAGCCTCCTAGCTCCTCCCTCAGCCAATCCTACCACTACTAGCCAGATGGTTTGGGGTCCAAGAAATCTTTCTCTTGTGTCTCAGTTTTCCCACCTGCACTATGGGTTCTAGGCTGGCTGGTCTTTAGGATTCTCTGGAACCCTAGTATCTATACTCAGGAACTGGATAACTCTGCCTTGTCCCTGAGCCCCAAACCCTCCCCTGCCTGCTGCCAACCTGGCATCACAGTCGCAATGGGAGATGGTGTGGAATCGAAAGTTTCTAACACCATAATTGTACTGCAAAGGCGAGATGTTCTGTGGGCAGTGGTCATGTTCCCGGCAGCAGAGATCGGGGCCCTGGAAGATCCCTGTGTAGAAGGAAGAAGCATCAGCTCAGCAGGGGCCTAGGCACTATTGCTATGCCTATCTGGTATCAAAAACACAGAGTCTTGGTTCTTACACCAGCCCTGACACAACCCCCCTGGGTGACCTCAAGCCAATCACTTTCCCTCTGTGAAACTCTTACAGTTTCAAAGCTTACAGAGCACACTCAGACTGCAGACCCTTTTGGGCAATTCCCAGTGCTGGGCAGCCCACCCATGATCATGAGGAAGATCTTCCTCAAGAGAGGCGGCATCTTCCCCCAGAGTTCCCAAGCTGACACGCCTAATAAAACTCCAAAGTTATGAATGTGTATTTGATGGAATGGCAAACAGGCAGGGTGCAACATTTCTTATTAACACAACAAGGCATGGCCAGGATGCTAAACTGCCCCACTCAGGTGCCAGATTCTTCCTAATCCTCCATGTACATGCAAATAGCATTCCATCATGATCCAAGCAATAGTGCCCTGTACTGGGCACATCCCAAATACCTAGTACTTCCCACACCCAAGCTCATAGCAGCCCTGCAAGGGAGGTGTCACTTTAGTTTTACAGGTGAGAAAATGGGTTCGGTGAAGGAAAATTACTTGCTTAGTTTGGATGTGCTGAGTTGGGATTTGAACCCAGGCCTTCGAGTTTCAGCACCTGTTCTACTAAATCCTCCTTTTGGAAGTGGCTTCTGGCTCAGAAAAGCCTGGATCCACCCCAGCCTGCCTTTTCCCTCTGGTGATTAATAGAGACTCCCAGATTTGTGTGAAACTTTTCCCATCCATGACTTCATTTAAACATCCCATGATTAGACTCATGGTCATGCTCATTTTACAGATAAGGAAACTGAGTTCCAAATGGTGAAGTCATTCCCCTGAAGACACAGCCTGAGAGAATAGGGGCCAGGGGCTGAAGCCTGTGCCTCCTTAGCCAAATGCCCACCCATACCCCATGGCTCACCCAGCTCTGAGGAGTTTCCAGCAGAGTCCCCAACTCCACACCATAGTGTGCCGGGCATGGTCCATCCTCTTTTTGTTCGAAGGTGCCTTCTGCCTGGTGCTCCACTCTGCTCTACTGCTCGAGTCACCCTGGCCCCGGGGGCCCCTTGGCAGGTCTGACTCCGAAGTGTTGCCAGTGTTCTCTGCAGCTCAGGTCCTGGTGTGTGGATAAAGAAGCGCTGAGTGGGCTCATGAGCACAGAGGGCACTGAAGACTTCAATGAGCTCCGGCTCATCCTGCCAGCTGCATACCTGCAGCTTCCCATGAGCATCCCAGTGGGCAAGGAACAGAGCCAGACTCTGGGCATCCTTGCCCAGAAAGCTCAGGGACCCCAGAGACCTGCCAGGGATGTGCCTGGTCAAGTGGCAGGAGGTGCTGTCCCAGTGGCGCGCAAGAGAACCCCCTGGAGTCACCCCCAGGAAGCCCAGCACCCCCAACAGCACTGCCAGAACTCTCATTTTGCCTGAGCCCAGCCTGGTCAGACAAAGCCCTCTCAGATGCCTGTCCCTACAGCTAGCAGCTGGAAGCAATACCCAGCAGGGTTTGTGTGGCCCGTGTGGCAGGGTCAATGAATGGAGCTGCCAGAGTAGGAGGAGGAAGGAGTATGGGGTGATCTTGGGCTTGTAACCAAATCCACCAGCCAGGCAGGCCACTGATTGGCTGAGGAGTGCACTTGCAGGGCCCACGCCTCCACTCATCTGTCCTTCTCATTGCCATCTAGTCACCTGCTGCCAGCCCCGCCTGGAAGGGGATTGTGGAAGCCAAAGCTTTGGGCCCTGGGGCCAGGGGCCAAGCAGGGTGCTGTGTCTCCTTGGGGAGGAAGGTGGGTTCAGGGGCTTGGAGGAGGCCCCCCAAACCTGTCCTTTTTCCTCCCACTCTAGGAGTGGCTGTCACACCTACTTCCATCAGACTGGCAAGAGGCCATGGACCTGGGCCAGAACTGGGTGAAGGAGGTGAGGACAGTGCTGGGGCTCTGGGGTACCACCCTGGGAGTTCCCAAGGGAAAAGAAGTGCTTAGCCCCAGGCCCAGGCCCTGGTGCTCCTTCCAAGCCTTGGTTCTTAGAAAGGCTCTTGGCATAACCTGGGGACAGTGGTCCAGGGCTCCCCCACTTTCTGGGACTTTAAGTACAGGTCTGACTTATCAGCAGCTTTCCTGATCTAATGGATGGAGTGACACAGCAGGAGCAGCCCTTGAAAACAACATAGAAGAGGGCTGATGCTCTGGAGCAGAAAATGGACCAAGGGCCAGGTTTACGCCCACCTGTATTTATGGACTATGGTCACCTGGGGGACCCAGCAGGTATCACATGCTCCCTCAAGAGACAGGGGTCTCTTGCCCAGGGATTTAGCTCAGTGGTTCCACCACCGGCCTCGAAATCACAAGGTCTTAAGTTGCCCCCCCAAAAAAAGAGAAAGGGGTCTCTCTATTAAGGAGAGGATACACTCAACATTTGTTCCTGTGTCCCCAAACTGATTCATCTTCGAGCTATCTGGTAAAGATAAGTACTTACTTGCACTAAAGATAGTGCATATGAAGAAACTGAGGCTCCATAAGAGTCAGAAAACCTCAGATGACAGACCCCAGCTCAAGAGGAGTTAGAGCTCAGGAGTATAGCTTTTGGGGAGCTCAGCTGGGAATCAGGGCTGGCCAGGACAGTGGCTTGTCTGTCTGTTCATCTGCCTGTCAGCTTACTGCTTCCTCCTCAATCTCCATCCAAGTCTCTCCAGGAGGAATAGTCCTGGGAGGCAGAGCCAGGGGTAGAAAGAAGCAGGAGTCTGGTGTGCTGCAGAGAGGGAAGGAGACTGCAGGGTGGGCAGGCTCATCTCTAATGCTTCAGAACCAGCCTGGGCCTGCGGTCCAAAGGGTCACAACTGGCAACAAAGAAGAGAAGGAAAAAAGGATGGGTATCGCCCAGGAGCTAAACTCCTCTCCAAAAGTTGGGAAAGGGGGTGTGGAGTAGAGCAAGCAGTAACAGGAGTGGGAGGGAGACAGGGGCTCCTAAGGACAAGGACACAACTACGCCAAATTGAATCACACCCCCCACCCCACTCTGGGAAGAATTCTGACATCTGAAATAAACCCTCATTCTGGTATTTCTCCTTTCATGGGAACTGTGCCTCCCACCTCTGCAGCCCTTTTCCACAGTACAGACTCCTTTCCTTCCCATGACCCAAGGAGTTTAGGGCATGTAGCAAGCACCCAGTTTTGGAGGTCAGATAGATTCAGTTTTCATGTTGGCACTGTGTGACGTGGGGCTTAGAAACCTTCTCTTTGCCTTAGTTTGCTCCTTTGTATGATGAACATAATCATAATAGTCACCTCGCAGGATGTTGAGTAAGGCTCTTAGCACCGCGCCTGATATGGGAAACAGTGTCACTAAAGCCTCAGGATACCTATTGGCAGGAAGCAGTTTTCCCAGGAGAAAGCAAGTCTCAAAGTGTTTGGGCCACAGTGTCTGTGACGTCTCACATCTCTGACTGGATGGGGACTCTGGGACTAGGGGCTAGGCCTCTGTCTAGGCCTCAGTTTTCCCCTCCATGCAGTGAGAGGTACAGTGGAATTGATCTTTAGGTCTCTTCCCCTGTGGGCCCCAAAGGGAGACAGGTTGGAGCTTGTTCTGGCCTCCAGGGAGGGTGTCACTGGGTGTTCTGTTCACGCTCCACCCGAGTAGCCACATCAGTTAGCTTACAGGACAGACTCTGTTCCCACCCTGCCTCCTAGCATGGTACCCCTCAGAGGCCTCAGAGGCAGGAGGATGGAGGGGCCCAAACCAGCAGGACAAGACAGGCTGGACAGAAAGACAGTCTAGGCTGTTCAGAGTCCTCATCCATCTGGGGTGGGACCGAGTACATGGTGGGTGCCAGTGGGGAGTGAGGAGGGGGGTCTGTGGGAGCACGCCTTCCTTTCTTCCTTCCCATCTCTCTCCACCAGGCCCCATCTCTCTCTCTCTCTCTCTCTCTCTCTCTCTCTCTCTCTCTCTCTCCCCCTTTGCCCTCTATTTCTCATTCCCTTCTCTTTTTTCTCCCTATCCTTAGCTTCTTTGTGTGTGTATATTTGTATCCCTTCCCCTCTCCTTTTGTGTTTCCACTTCTCCCTCTCTCCTAATTCTTCTCTCATTCCCATTTCTTTTTTTTTCTTTGGTGCCGGGAATCGAACTCGGTCCTTGCGCTTGCCCAGTCATTCCCATTTCTTTTCTCTGTTACATCAAATGTAGACCTTTTTTTTTTTTTTTTTTTGGTACCGAGGATCAAACTCAGGACCCTGTGCTTGGGAGGCAGGCAGTGGAACCACGGAGCTAAATCCCCAGCCCTATTCCCATTTCTTTATCTCCCCTCCACCTCTACTTTGTGACCATAGGCCCAGGACCATAGAGAGCCTTCAGCATGTTCCACCCGCCATTTATATTTCTCCACCCTTGACCTCATCTAAGGCTCACAACCCCTGCCCCTCCCTTGGAAGTCAGATTGGGTGGGGTATACATAAACAAGATGGATGGAAGGAGGCCCAAGGAGAGGAATGCCTTGCTGGGAGTCACCCAGCAAATCGAGAAACCCTGTCTGACTTCCCTGGCTTGTGGGTACACTTCCTCAGGTCCCTGCAGATGTGCCATTCCCCTCTCCCCCAGCCTCCCCATTTGAGGCTTTTCTTTTCCACTGGTCTGAGGCAGACCCTCCCTGTGGCCTTTGGAGCTGGCACTCCCAGCCTTACCCAGAAGACTCCCTGTGCTGGGAGAATGGGGTGGGCAGTGCCTAGCTCCAGAGCACGCTGTGTTCATTCAAAAACAAATAGATACTGAGTTTACTATGTGCCAGGCTCAGAGTGAGAGATGGGAGAGAGCATGCTCTGGGGAGAGGGGGGTGGGGAACAGAGCATACTGGCCAGTGGAGAGGGCCAGTGAGGAAATTCATCCCCTGGGAGAATGGGATCTTGGCACCTTGGGAGAGCTGCAGGGGGCTAGAGTGGGTTGGGTCTTCCAGGAAGCCATTGCCAAAATAGAGTTAGAAGTGCAAAAGATTTATTGGGGGAATGCTTGTGCAAGATGAAAGGAGAGGAAGCAGGACTGAGTAGGGAAAGCCTTCAGGCCATGTTTCAGGGCTGACATTTATGGGAAGAGAGGGGAGGGAAGGAGGTTGGGTAAGAAGAGTCTCATATTCCAGTACCACTCTGAAAAAGTGTCAGCCAGCCAATGGGGAACTCCAGTGCACATTTCCCATAGAGGAGTTCCAGCTGGGGAAAACAGCCAGGCCCTAGTGACCCAGTTGTGCCCAGTTATTGTCTGGAGGCTTCCAGAAAAGATAGTGGTCTCTGCTCCAATGTGCTGCAGATCCTGAAGGTGCTGCTCCTGGAGGCTGTCAGCCAGCTGCTCTCTCACAGCCAAAGTTATGCCTCTGGACACTTACCCATTCTTTGGACTGGGGCCAGACCAGAGAAGGAAAACCATGGTCTTTTGTGACTGGCTTCTTTCAGTTAGCATAATGTTCCTGCAAGTTGTGAATATTGTAGCATGTAAAGGCACTTCATTCTGTTTTATGACTAGATAATATTTCATTGTATTGGGTAGACCATTTTTTCAACCCATTCATCAGCTGATGGAACATTTGAGTTGTTTCTTTTTTTTTTTTTTTTTTTTACTATTATGAATAATGCTGCTATGAACTTTCATGTACAAGTTTGTGTGTGGATATATATTATTTCTCCTGGATATATACCTAGGAGTGACATTGCTGAGTCATATGGTAACTCTATAATTAACATTTTTAGAAACTGCCAGACTGATTTCCAAGTGGCTGCACCATTTTACAATGTAAGAGTTCTCATTTCTCTGTCCTTGCCAATGTTGTTGTCTGCCTTTATAACCATCTTCTTGTGAAATGGTGCCTCATTATAGTATTTACTTACATTTCCCTGATGGCTAATAATATTTGGCATCTTTCATGTGCTTATTGGCCACTTTTATTTCTTCCCTGGAAAAATATGACTAACATCATTATTGTAACCTCATGAACCTTCAATCCAGACTCAACTAAGCTACTTTTGAATTTCTAACCTTCAGAAACGTAAAATAATAATTCTAAAAATTATCAGTGAAAAAAAAATAATTCTAAGCTGGGCGTGATGGCGCATGCCTGTAATCCCAGCACTCGGGAGGCTGAGGTAGGAGGATCACCATGAGTTCAAGACCAGCCTGAACTACATAATGAGATTCTGTCTCAAAAACAAAAACAAAAACAAAAAAGGGGGCTAGGGATTTAGCTCGGTGGCAAAGTGCCTGTCTGGAAAGCTCAAGGTCCTGAGTTCAATCCCTGGTACAAAAAAAAAAATCATAGGGATAGAACCTAGGGCCTCACACATACTAGGCAAATGCTTACCACTGAGCTATACCCCTCAGCCTTATATTTGTTGTTTTAAGACATATTTTGGGATTTTCTTTACACAGTAATAGACAACTAACACAGAAGCATTCCATGAAAATAAGGAACATATCGGCCAGGTGTGGGATACATCTGTAATCCCAGCACTGAAGGGGACTAAGGTAGGAGAGTTACAAGTACAAGCCCTGGTGCGTTCAATCCCCA